ATATATATATATATATATATATATATATATATATATATATATATATATATATATATATATATATATATATATATATATACATTTTTTGTTTCATTATTTGGATTGTCAAAAAGGCATCAATGTGTAGATGTCTAATAGACGTCAAGGTTTTGAAATCAAATAGATCATGATTGTTTTTTAATGTAGTTTTGACATCAAGGTCCAAAAGTCTCTAAAAAGTGCAGCAGGCTGTGATGAACTTGCATTTAAATGTAAACATACATCTCATTTAATCTCTAAACTACTACAGTAGTTAAAAGTTAACAAGAATGACAGCTGCTAGATACTAAACAAATAAACTTTGCGCCATCATGTGTGTGAATTCAAAACCAGCCGTGACACTAATTATATATAAGTGTAAAAAGGATGTAGTCAGATCTTTTGAAGCTATTTAATGTTTTTTTGTTTGTTTGTAAAAATTGTCTTGCTCATTTAATATGATTACAACCCACCATTGTATTCGTATGATGGTAAGAACTTACTGCCAAACAAAGGTAAAGAATATTAAGTCAGTGTTAAAAAAAATCATCTTATTAAATATTTTCTATGGGTTATTATTTGCTATGATCTTGTCTCATGTTTGTAGTAGTCTAAGCTATGATAGATGGCCTTCTGGTGCTACTGAAAGTCTTGGGGAATGTCAGAAACGTGCTGAAACGCATCCACTGCAAACACTTTGAACAGATCTGTTCATATTTCTATTAAATGGAATTGTTCCATAGACAACAATATGTCTGGCATTTGCATCTAGACTTTAAACAATGCAAAACTCTATGAAGAATCAGCTGATTTTTTCTACAATGGCTTCATCCATACCATGAGTAATGGGTAGATTTTCAAACTACTTAAAATAACTTTGCTTACTTTTTTTAAACCTCTCTAAAATTCTATAGGTTGTTAAGGAAGTCATTATTAAATGACTTCTTTGAGATTTGAAGCACCATCAAAAATACTTGTTATATCAATGTGTATGAATATTCGAAATATAAAACTACATATGAACAAAAAGTGACAGGTACAAATGTATTCATACCTTTCTCAATAGTCAATAGAAAAGCCTTTATTGGCTATTACAGCAATCAAATGCTTGCAATAGTTGCTAATCAGCTTTTTGCATGTGTCCACTGGTATTTTTGCTCATTCAGCGATGAACTCCAACTCTTTTAGGTTGGAGGGTCTGCATGCCATCACCCTGGTCCTTAGCTCCCTCCACAGACTATCAATAGGACTTAAGTCAGGACTCTGGCTGGGCCACTCTAAAACATTATTATCTTTGTCTACTAACCATTTCTTTACCACTTTTGCTGTGTTTTGGGTCGTTGTCATGCTGAAACGTCCACTGGTGGCCAAGGCCAAGTTTCTCTGCTGACTACATGATGTTGTTGTGGAGAATTGTGATGTATTTCTCTTTTTTCATTGTGTTGTTTATTGTGATTGGGTTCCCTGGTCCACCAGCTGAAAAGCACCCCCAAAACATTAAGTTCCACAGATTCTCAATTGGATTTAAGTCAGGACTCTGACTGGGCCACTGCAAAATGTTAATTTTTTTTTTTTTTTTTTTGTCTGCTAACCATTTTTTCACCCCTTTTGCTGTGTGTTTGGGTCATTGTCATGCTGAAATGTCGACTGGTGGCAAAGGAGAAGTTTTTCTACAGACTGCCTGATGTTGTTGTTGAGAATTGTAATGTAATGCTTCTATTTCATGGTGCTGTTTACTGTGATTAGTTCCCTGGTTCACCAGCTGCAAACACTCCCAAAACATTAGGTTCCACAGATTCTCAATTGGATTTAAGTCAGGACTCTGCCTGGGCCACTAAAAGTGTTAATTTTTTTTGTCTGCTAACTATTTCTTCAGTTTTGCTTTGTGTTTTGGGTCGTCATTGTTCTGAAACGTCCAATGGTGGCCAAGGCCAAGTTTCTCTGCTGACTACATGATGTTGTTGTGGAGAGTTGTGATGTATTTCTCTTTTTTTCATGGTGCTGTTTATTGTGATTGGTTTCCCTGGTCCACCAGCTGAAAAGCACCCCCAAAACATTAAGTTCCACAGATTCTCAATTGGATTTAAGTCAGGACTCTGGCTGGGCCACTGAAAACGTTAATGTTTCTTTGTCTGCTATTTCTTCAGTTTTGCTTTGTGTTTTGGGTCGTCATTGTGCTGAAATTTCCACTGGTGGCCAAGGCCAAGTTTCTCTGCTGACTACATGATGTTGTTGTGTATAATTGTGATGTAATGCTTCTTTTTCGTGGTGCTGTTTACCGTGATTGAGTTCCCTGGTCCACCAGCTGCAAACACTCCCAAAATATTAGGTTCCCAACACCATGTATGACAGTATGGATGGTGTTCTTAGGCTTGAAGGCTTCCCTTGGTTGAATTTAAATAAGAATTTGCCAGGAGTATGAATAATTTCAGGCTTAACTGTATATAAATTTAATTTAATTAAAAAAGTTTCCAGATTAATAGGATTATAGTTTTAATAGAAATAAACTGATTTTGAGTAGCAATAAATCTATTTGTCCCAATCTATTTGTTAATATTACTAGTAATTCTTAGTTGTTAAAGTTTATCAAGCGTTTTAAACGACAGTTTGCGGATCATATGTAATTAGAATCGTCAAAGAAATTCAGATCTCTTTTACAATTAATAACATATTAATTGGGCGACATGGTGGCTCAGTGGTTAGCAGTGTCACTTCACAGCAAGAAGGTCGCTGCCGGTTTGAGTCCAGGCTAGCCCAGTTGGCATTTCTGTGTGGTGTTTGCATGTTCTCCCCGTGTTCGTGTGGGTTTCCTCCAGGTGCCCCGGTTTCACCAACAGTCCAAAGAAATGCGGTATAAGTAAATTGGATGAACTAAATTGGTTGTAGTGTATGAGTGTGTGTGAATGTGAGAGTGTATGAGTTGCGGTTGGAAGGGCATCCGCTGCGTAAAACATTTGCTAGAATAGTTGGTGGTTCATTCCGCTGTAGCGACCCCTGATAAACAAGGGACTAAGCTAAAGGAAAATGAATGAACATATTAAGTGAACCCTGTTGTAAACCAATAATCAAAACTGATTCGCTCTTCAAAGAGAAGTTTCAAAAGAAAAATATTGTTTCATAAAGCAACAAAATGTCCTTTAATGCATGGTGAGGCTTACTTAAATGCAATCATCCCCACAAAAAACAAAACAGTAATCAAAAATGTAAGTGTATAGTAAGAACAAAAACACAATACAACCGTTTATAATTTTTTTGGAAAGATTTTAATAGTTATTGAATGTTCTACATCTTACAGTAAATATTATACAATTACAAACTTGGCTTAATTATGTCACAGAGATCACTAACTGATCTTCAAAAACAAAACAAAACAATAAAAAACCAAATAATAAAAACAGTTTTACACTTCATTTCACAAGCCTGATGTGGGTCTCCTTGCTCAAACGGTGGAACGGCACGGTCTGCTGAAAACACGCTCGGAAAATCGAAATGTGATCTCGAAAACCGCGCTGCAGTGCGTAATATACATAACTATGGGGGGGCAAGGGCTTTTTTAACACTCACTGAAGGGAGATAAATTCTGGAAGACTTTTCCCCTTAATGCTTTACATTTAGAATGCAAACAACAAAGTCTTATTCTCAATATACGGGTCAAAACATAAATATTCCTAAACAGTAGCGTGAAATAGCAACCCCTCGTTTGTTTGCATCCAAAAAAAAAAAGCCTATGGTACATATCACAGGTTTTCAGCGAGAGCGTGAAACCAGTGCCACAATTACTTTAAAAATACCTTTACATACTGGTGACGTGACACTGAATTCACTAGAGCTAATAACCCGCTGCATGCATCACGGGCGCTAGTAAACAATCCTTTGATCGTTGCCCTGAACAAAAAAAAAAACTAAAACGTAACAGTGCATGGGTTTGCAATATAAACATCACATGTTCTCAAAACGATAGAAACTGACTGAAGTAAAAAAAAAAAAAAAAAGGAAATCCAAGCCTCTTCCATACCATGGCCAAACAACAACAACAAAATACTCAGATCCAAACCTGCTAAAAAGTAAATAAAATAAAAACACCTGATTTAACACACAATTGAAAACAATCGATCTATTTAAAATGCGAGAAATACATGATAATGATTAATGTTTGGTGAGCGAATATATCTGAAAATAACCGAGTATTGATATTGGGATGAAAAAACAATGACGTATTAAAAAAAATGAAAATAAAGAGCTTTCTGATTCAACTATTGAAGATCAAATAACTCCAAAAAATGACTTTTTTGTTCTTGAAAAACATACAGGAAACATTTTGTTTTGCTTTTCACATTTAAGAGATCATTCCCGCAGAATTAAACTTGCTATTGACTTCCATAGTCGAATAAAATGACCATAGTAGAACAATGAATGTCAATGGATTTTAAATATGGTTTGGATTACAAAATATTATTTGTATTCAACAGAAGAGAGACTCTCATACAGGTTTGGTACAAGAAGAGGGTGAGTACATGATTACAATAATTTTTTTTGGGTGAGCTTTCTTATTAAGCCCAAAGTATACTTCAGTTTATATATATGTGTACGATATGTTCAAGTCCTCCTCGGAAATTAGAATTTACGAATTATCATTGTGTGTTTGAGCCACGTTATGCATTATATGTCCTAGTAAGAACAGCCAAAACGCTTGAGCCCTGGTGGCTGGCTGCAAAATAGGTAATAAAACCTGCCCCCCATGACTAGTGCGCCAAATGATGTGATCAGCGCCCCATAACTGAAATATTTTTGCTTCCGTTTTCATTACTGTGATCAGTTTTTGAAACTAATTTCTGTAGGAAGTATAAATTTTTTTTCGCTCATAACTTTAGGAGAGGAAAAGTGCAGATGTCGGAAAAGTCTTAATATTTATATTGTTGAGTGCTTGTGTTTGGCCCCGATGCGCCTCATTTGGAGCAAAAACATTTTTGATCGCCCCCTGGTGGTTGACTGCAGTACACTTCTTAAAATTTGGTTTGCTGTTTGTTCAAACTACTGATGTAAAATGAGCTTAATTGTTTGATGTTCAATCCACTTCAATTTGTAAAAACTAATAAGTTAACTTAATTCCTTTATGTTGTCTAAACACAATTTTTTTGGGGGTGGAACCCATTATTTTCTACAGCGTATAGGCCGACATAAGGCAGACTTGGGATCCAGATAACATCATCTACGCAAGATGACAGCAGCTAAACCTGTGACATTTTGGCTTCATTTATTTATTTACAATAAAAGAATGTGGAGGTGTTTCATCCATCTTTGTTTAGACTTATTAATAAACAAAAATCTAAATAATTTTTGAATGTCTAACAAGTGCAAAGACATTTTACATCACTCATAAAATTTGAATAGAACAAATTAGGATGAATAACTGAGTGCTGGATCAATTGTGTACTGGAAAGTGAAGCCAAAACATCTTGGTCGCCCCCTGGTGGCTGGCTGCAGTATAGGCCATAAACTCCACCACCAGCCAAACTGAACTGATCTGCGCAAGATGACAGCAGCTATACCTGGCATATTTTGACTTTATTGGAAGAATCTGGAGTTGTTTCATCCATATTTGTTCAGACTTCACAACAAACTAATTTCTGAATGTTTAACAAGTGCAAACATTTTTTCATAGCTCATAATGTTTGAACAAAACATCCAAGGATAAATCTATGAGTGTTGGATCCTTTGTGTACTTAAAAGTGAAGCCAAAACATCTTGATCACCCCCTGGTGGTTGGCTGCAGTATAGTTAATAAACTCTGCCATGAGCCAAACTGAACTTGGGCTCCAAATGACATCATTTGCACAAGATGAAAGCAGATTATACCCGTGACATCTGGCTTCAAATCTTCTTTTAGAAGAAAATGTGGAGGTGTTTCAATCATATATGTTTAGACTTCACAAACAAACTAATCTCTGAATGTTTAGAGAACAAAGACATTAGCATTTATAATAATGTTTGGACAGAACAAACTAGGATAAATGTTTGAGTGTTGGATCATTTGTGTACTGTAAATTGAAGCCAAAACCTCTTGATGGCCCCCCGGTGGCTGGCTGCAGTATAGATCCTAAAGAATGTTCTCCATATGAGATGTGAGCCGAATTTAAAAATTAAAAAAAAAATTTCTACAGCACACAGAAGGGTAGATCTGTCATTTTTAACCATCTACAGCAAAAAAACGAAGTATACTCGGAGCTTAACGTTCACGCCGTTTTCCTTTCCAGATGATCAATCCCTTTAAATTCACAATGACCCTGTATTAAAACGTTGTTTGTTCCAGTAACTGCAATTCAATTTCACGAAAAAAAAAAAAGCTAACTTCAGTGAACATCTCTACCAGATTTTAATAATAGCTGCAGATTGCTAAACTTTACCCCCCGCCCTCATTATTTCGACAAACCAGAAAGAACAAGACAAAGACAGATTGGGGAAATGCATGTTTAGAGGAAGAGGAAACCCCTTGAAGACTTGTGCTCTGAAATGCCTCTCAACCACATGGACTGTATCACTCCACTCCAGATCAACTATAAAGATCTTCTATTTAAGAAAAAATGAACATCAATCATTAATTAAAACTTTAAATAACACTTACGTAAAAAGCGCCTAAATTACATTGTCAGAGTGGATGGTAACGTCCGCTCGTTCTGAATCAAACCCTTTACTCCTTTGCAGTGTTAAAAGGTCACTCTAGTCCTCGAGTTCAGTCTGACGTCTGCTCGCGTCAGTGTTTAATATGTCGATTACAGTGATTATTGTGCATCGATCGAAGTCTTGTGATGCAAAGACAGAAAATAAAGGTCACTGTTTGATATAATACTGTATAAATCCTGCTGGAAAAAAGGAAAGAGTAGGGCAGAGAGTGCGTGAGATTTCATCCTATACAAAACTGATGATCTTAAACTAATAAAATCCCATTACTGCACAGAGATTGCTGCTCACTAAGGGCACAAGAATATACTGTAGCATGTAATGCAATGAAGTCATTTTTAGATAAATCTGTCAGGAAGATTTTTTACCCTAGTACTAAGGAACAATGAAACTATGTTAAAGGTGCAGTATGTAAGTTTGACACCCAGTGGTTGAACTAGGTATTGCACACCTGGTTCAAAACACATGCAAGCGCAGGTTGCCAGATTGACGACACCAACAGAATCAAGTCTGTTTACCAAGCCTAAAGGCTGATTTAATTGTTGTTCTATCTAAAAACACGCAATAGACGTAATATTTTCCATATTAAAAGGAGTTTTTGTCCTAACCAGCATGGGCAAACCTAACCCTGATACACAAACCAGCAGGCTGAGCACATGGTAAAACATCTGAAATGTTGTTTTGGTCATTCTAAAATGTCTTAACCGTTTTAGTATTAGTGTTATTATATTAGTAATGACCTCCAAAATTGTTAGAAGCATCTGTGCTCCATGTCTCACGCCTTCAAATGCCACTGTGCGTTCTCTGCATGTCAGGATTGCCTTCTGAGGCGCAAGTCATTAATTAACTGAGGAAAACATTCACGCAGCTTCTTCTACCACAGCAAATTCAGTTTTTGCTGTTGATATTTGGTGCCAGTTAGTCAGGAAGTGACGATTTTTTTGGCTTTGACTCGCTGGACGGAAACGCTGCTTTATTTGCATGTCTTTTATGTGATATTCCAGTTTTGCGCATAAAGTTAATTCAAATTTTGAATGGAAACATGGCTAGTGACTCAGCCTCTACATTTAATAATGTTAAAGAGGTTCAATATGTATTAATTAGACTATAAGCCAGTTCATTGGAGTGCACTATTCTGTGCTTCTGAATGGCTGTATTTAAATTTCTAATGTTTCGTCTGGTGCAAACAGCCAAATTGCAAATCTAGCGTGTCGTAGTGTGTTGCTAGAACACGGGTTACAATGTAACCTGCTCACCAAATGTTTACACTCATAATATTTATATTATTTGCTTGTTAAAAACCACCACATGTGGAACTCTGAATCTGCGTCTCATTTCCGAGTCTGCTACTGTCCATTGGAGGTTGCAATTCGGTCAGGGACAAGAGCCTTCCTGACTGAATGAATGAAATACGATGTTTTCAATCAAGGCAACCCGGGGTGCTGGAATATAATTGGCTAAACTTGCAGTGGGCGGGTTAAATGACCAAAACAAAGACAGACGTTCCAGCACGTAAAGCACATTTTTAAAGCAGACTATCTTTAGCATTGTTTATCAGATAAACAAGAATGTTCACTTAGCTTGTTTTTTTAAATATCGGCAAACATATTATGATGTTTTTATGCGTTAGTGGAGTCAAAAACTCACATACAGCACCTTTAATATTACCAATATTAAATATTGCAGAATACCTAATATTGAACAAAAAGAAGCTTGTTTTTATGTTAAATTATTATATTTAAATCACTATTTATCTGCCAAATTTCCTAAATTTTCTTTTTATTTATTAATTATGATGACGTTTATAAAAAAATACTGTCAAATTTAGACTACAGTACTGCAAATTCTAATCCCAATCACAATTGAGGATGATGCAAATCCTAATACATAAAAAAATACAGGATTATTAGTTTAAGAACAATCTTAAATTAGGCTAATTATTTTGCTAAATATTCTCTGGGTGATCATCCACACTGCGCCCTCGCCCTCTCCTTTTATTTCAACAACAACGACAACTAAAAAAATAAAAGAAATCGAAGGGAATGTGCTGTAATGTAAAAGTGTTATTAAAAGCAATCCATAAGCTGCGATTCAACATGATGCAACCATGCTTCGCGAGGGCATAGTTTCCATCCGATTACACTATACTGCATTCACCCGCATGACACATGCATTACTAGACGTTATTACTTCCACATAAGATCAGAGAATCGCTTCGTTCCCACGTTCGAGTGTGTACTATATATCGAAATAGTGGTTGATTAGCCGTAACAAACAACAAAATAGAGCGATACGGTTCTGTACTGACAATAATATTACTTTTCCAGAGACGTCACCAAGAGCAGAGTAAATGCTTTGATTTTCTTAATTACATCCTTTAAATATGAGAGTGTACCGTATAATTGGTTATTAAAGTTACGTCTATTTGTCAAGTGTGCAATGGTATGATAACATTTCATAGAATACTTGATATGTCACTTCGGAGTACACTAGACGAGCTCTTGGAGAGGGGGGATAGGAAATCAAAATCTCTCTCTCTCTCTGAAAAGGCTGTAAGTTACAATTAAAAGCCATTCAAGCAGGCCGTTCTTATTATTGCGTTGAACAACTCCGTTTGTACAATCTGTGCGACTACAGGCCCAATGATTGACCAGGGGTTAGACCCACTCAAACTCGATGAATGCCAGAACGCCTATTATTTATTTATTTTATATACGTTTTTTTTTTTTTTTTTTGCGTTTAGTGCTATCTACGATGCAATAAAGTCCCTTTGTCGTTCGATCAGAGTAGCGTCCGTCCTATCTGGCCTCAAAGTTGGCACGTTTTAGGCTCCAGCTAAGTGCCAACCATAGATATTTTTTCGTTCCTCGAAATTCTGCCGCATTCCCATGCGCGCATATTTATATAAATCGAATATACACTTTATAGTTTAGAAGCTTACGCTATCCTGACACATAAGCTAGTAACGTAACCAGCTCACTCGAACGTTCTCTATTTAGTGAATAACTAAGATTACTGTTATGTACTCGATATCCTAATGAAGGTTAAACCACGTTTGCACTGCCCTACTAATGATATATTCCTTACAAATCTACATGAACAGCTACAAGCTGGAAGACACCCTTGTTATCGATGGTAGAACCAAAATGAGGGAGGACTGAAATCATATTAATATTTTAAAAAAAAAGAAACGAATCGACTTTCCTCGACGGAAGTGTGAACGCTGAAATGAAACTCTGCGGTAAATAAACGAACTAAAAACGAACCCTGTGCTAGTTTCTAAGTGTTATAAAATTTGGCAGCATAATTGGATGATTATGATCCCGGTGGTGCTGATATTGCGTCGGTACATTCCTACACACCAGCGTTTATACTGAACACAAAATACAGATTTTGAAGAGGCGTGATTGGTCGAAATCATTCTGGAGTTCTGACAGAAGTAACTATGGAACATTGAGAAATTAAAATAACCTAATGCAAGAACGTCATCCCAAAAAACAAAAAGAAAAATTAAATAAAAGGATAAAAAAGCAGCTTTTACAAAAACACGTAAGAATGCATAAAGTGACCCTTGCACTTTTTTTTTTTCATCTTTTTGTTCTTGCAAACAGACGTGGCCCTCCCTGTTGAGCACAGAGCGCCGATGTAAGACTTGAGTAGTTGCATACAATGTTTGACTCCAGATCTGTGGTGGACAGAGACAGAAGAGGTCAGCGCTTTATTAGGGTACATGCACTTTGCATTTTCAGATCAACCCAGGTGAAGCGCAGGTACAAAATCACCCCAATTAAGGTCTTAATTAAGGTTTTATTTAAAAATCAGTAATCTTAACTGCCTAGGGGTGTCACGATTCTCCAAATTCTCTATTCGATTACATTTTCGATTCTAAAGTCACGATTCGATTCGATTTTCGATTATGAATAATTAATTAATTAATAACAAATTAATTATTTGTAGCCTACAGTTTAAACTACCTGACCTGTATGGTCTTTGTTTTACCCATAAACAAATCATACAGTAAATGAATAAAGGCAAGATACACACATAATTACCACCTGTCAATCACTTTTTTCTTGTGAATAGGCAGTGATCTGTGTCGTTAATATGGCGTCGGTAAAAAAAGGTGCACAACTAACAGGAACCAGCCAACAGTATCTGAGGTGTTTGCTAAAATGACTAAGTACTAGTGTGAAAGTAAAAGATTGAAGCAGTCTTAACTAGGTTAATTAGGTTAACCAGGCAGGCTAGGGTAATTAGGCAAGTTATTGTATAATGATGGTTTGTTCTGGAGACAGTCTGAAAAACAATTAGCCTAAGGGGCTAATAAATTTGACCTTAAAATAGTTCATAAAAAATTTAGAACTGCTTTTATTCTAGCCAAAATAAAACAAATAAGACTTTATTCAGAGGAAAAAAATATTATCAGACATACTATCAACATTTCCTTGCTCTGTTAAACATAATTTAGGAAATATTTTAAAAAGAAAAAAACAACAAAGGGGGCTAATAATTCTGACTTCCACTGTATATATATTTACAGTCATTTTTTTAAATGTTTTTAAGAAAACTTATTCAGGTTATCAAGGCTACATTTATTAAATGTAAAAAATGTTAAATTGTTAAATATTTATAAAAATTTTAAATAACTACTTTGTTGTTGTATGTAGTTTCAAATAAAATTATTACTCCAGACATTATTGCTTTTATTACTATTACCATTAATAAATATAATAATAATTAATATTGGTGATTTCTGAAGGATCATGTGACTGGAGTAATGAAGCTGAAATTTCATCTTTAAAATTACTGGAATAAATAAATAAATTAAATGATAAACTACTTTTGAACAGTTATTTTGTAGTGCAACATTTCATAATTTGTATGATGAAATAATTGCAGCCTTGGACAGGCCTAATACAACATATTATACGATTAAAATATGGAAAAATTAACAGATAGTAATTTCGGTCAATTTTGCTAACAGGAACCAGCCAACAGTATCTGAGGTGTTTGCTAAAATGACTAAGTACTAGTGTGAAAGTAAAAGATTGAAGCAGTCTTAACTAGGTTAATTAGGTTAACCAGGCAGGCTAGGGTAATTAGGCAAGTTATTGTATAATGATGGTTTGTTCTGGAGACAGTCTAAAAAACAATTAGCCTAAGGGGCTAATAAATTTGACCTTAAAATAGTTCATAAAAAATTTAGAACTGCTTTTATTCTAGCCAAAATAAAACAAATAAGACTTTATTCAGAGGAAAAAATATTATCAGACATACTATCAACATTTCCTTGCTCTGTTAAACATAATTTAGGAAATATTTTAAAAAGAAAAAAACAACAAAGGGGGCTAATAATTCTGACTTCCACTGTATATATATTTACAGTCATTTTTTTAATGTTTTTAAGAAAACTTATTCAGTTCATCAAGTCTACATTTATTAAATGTAAAAAATGTTAAATTGTTAAATATTTATAAAACATTTAAATAACTACTTTGTTATTGTATGTAGTTTCAAATAAAATTATTACTCCAGACATTATTGCTTTTATTACTATTACCATTAATAAATATAATAATAATTAATATTGGTGATTTTTGAAGGATCATGTGACTGGAGTAATGAAGCTGAAATTTCATCTTTAAAATCACTGGCATAAATGAATAAATTAAATGATAAACTACTTTTGAACAGTTATTTTGTAGTGCAACATTTCATAATTTGTATGATGAAATAATTGCAGCCTTGGACAGGCCTAATACAACATATTATACGATTAAAATATGGAAAAATTAACAGATAGTAATTTCGGTCAATTTTGCTAACAGGAACCAGCCAACAGTATCTGAGGTGTTTGCTAAAATGACTAAGTACTAGTGTGAAAGTAAAAGATTGAAGCAGTCTTAACTAGGTTAATTAGGTTAACCAGGCAGGCTAGGGTAATTAGGCAAGTTATTGTATAATGATGGTTTGTTCTGGAGACAGTCTGAAAAACAATTAGCCTAAGGGGCTAATAAATTTGACCTTAAAATAGTTCATAAAAAATTTAGAACTGCTTTTATTCTAGCCAAAATAAAACAAACAAGACTTTATTCAGAGGAAAAAATATTATCAGACATACTATCAACATTTTCTTGCTCTGTTAAACATAATTTAGGAAATATTTTAAAAAGAAAAAAACAACAAAGGGGGCTAATAATTCTGACTTCCACTGTATATATATTTACAGTCATTTTTTTTATGTTTTTAAGAAAACTTATTCAGTTCATCAAGGCTACATTTATTAAATGTAAAAAATGTTAAATTGTTAAATATTTATAAAAATTTTAAATAACTACTTTGTTATTGTATGTAGTTTCAAATAAAATTATTACTCCAGACATTATTGCTTTTATTACTATTACCATTAATAAATGTAATAATAATTAATATTGGTGATTTCTGAAGGATCATGTGACTGGAGTAATGAAGCTGAAATTTCATCTTTAAAATCACAGGCATAAATGAATAAATTAAATGATAAACTACTTTTGAACACTTATTTTATAGTGCAACATTTCATAATTTGTATGATGAAATAATTGCAGCCTTGGACAGGCCTAATACAACATATTATACGATTAAAATATGGAAAAATTAACAGATAGTAATTTCGGTCAATTTTGCTGACGGATAAACAGATCAGGCTGGATAAACAGCTCTCGGTAATATTTCAGCATGCTTTCACTTTCGCATTTACCGGTAAGAATGACATCTCGCCCAGCTCATCATTTTCTCTTCATATAGCCGTATATATGGCTATTACACGATCATAATACACTGTGATATAGCCTGGGTCGTTAGTTCGTTGCATTGTTTTGTTTTCTCACTACAATCGATCCGCTCAGTAGGGCAGAGGCCGTCACATTCAGGGGATCTCGGACTGATTTGGCGCGGATGCGAGCGCAACTGCTGGATATATGCCAAACAAACTAACGGGGGAAACGAGACAGATTCCGAAACAAACGTCTATGTGTGAGGCAGCACTGTACAATGGCCCGAGCGTCTCGCACGCTGGCTCCGGGCTATCGGGCAGTCCTTGTCGAGCCCTGAAGGTTTAAGCTCTGTCGACGGGTCTCCTGCGTCTGCACAGTTTAACAAGCACTTCAACAAGCGTGTTTTTTCCCGCTTGGCAAGCCAAGCTGACGTGACATGGGGGCGTGGCAGCATCGACGATTCTATTTTTTGATTCGATAATCGAAATCGAGCATAAATTTCGATCGATTTTCGATTAAAATCGAAATCGTGACACCCTTATAACTGCCTGATTGAGATATGATACACATGTGGATCTACATGAACCTTTCACTAAAAGTTTATCGGTGTGTGAAAAACACTAGCTGTGCACACAGCCTCCTTAAATTAAGATTGAGATTTGTGGGCGGGGACTCACATGATTGGCAGGTGGCTCTACCAGTGAGGTGGCACATAGCTGTAGCCAGGTGTTCCTTGGGGTCGGTATGTTGGCACGGTGACGGGATGTGCTCCAATCTGAGTGTGCTGAGGGGTGGTCAGCAAAGTGCCTGATGGAGACAAGGAAATAAAGTGTTCATCACTCATTTACAGCAGTACTGAATTACAGCAGAACTAATGGGTGTGTTTTTTCTTGGACTAAGCTTGTTAATGGCACTAGCTGTATTTGTATTGAATCTAGTTATTAAAGTAGTCATAATTGTTTCATAAATATCATGTTAATTTTTTAAATACTGTAATTTATATTATTAACAAATATATCTAAATAAAAATGGATGAATTAGTGTTTTAAAATATAGACATTAATTAAAAATGCTAACTTTTTCAAGAACTGAAAGTCTGCAAAAGACACTATAATTGTGATATATGCAATTATTGAGCGCTCGAGCACCGAATGGAGTAGACTAGGGGTGGTCAACCCTGCTCCTGGAAAACTACCTTCCAACAAATTTCAGCTCCAACCCTGATCAAACACACAAGAATCAATGAATTAGGACCTGAACAGCGCTTGCTAATCACAGGTAGGTGTGTTTGATATGGGTTGCAACTGAAATCTGCAGGAGGGTAGATCTCCAGCAACAGAGTTGAGCACTCCTTTAGTACCTAGTTTGAAGAGCTCCTTCAATAATCTTGAAAAAAACGAGCTTAATTTATTTATGATCTAAACAAAACAACGCCTTTTTAAGCTTGAAGTCAAGATGATGAAACCTAAAATGAAGCAATGTGATCAACCGGCCAATGTAAGCACACTCTGAATGAATAAGCGGCTAGTGCTACTGTCAACGACGAGACCACAGCCTTATCTCCAATTTTGGCAGCAATCCAAGCATCTATTCAAGCTATGGATATGTCGATTGAGAGATTTAACACTATCAAAGATAAAACTAATTGTTAAACTCAAAACATTTATTATGGTCATTTTATGTTAGGTAAAAAATTATTTAAAGAAATATGTATGTATGTATGTATGTATGTATGTATATATATATATATATATATATATATATATATATATATATATATATATATATATATATATATATATATATATACATACATA